TATCCCTACACTGCCAGTTAGGCGACCTGTAAGTCCAGGGGCATCGAATGCAGAAAACTGCATACGTTGAATGCAGGTGGCAGAAGTCTACACCTGAACCCTCGCCTGCTAAGAGGATGCAAAGCCCTAGTTAAGAGAGAACAAAAAGACCCAGTACACGTGTCCTTCCCGAGTGGAACATCCCTTTCTCAGCCACACACACAACTCAGCGCACCTGCTGACTGCGCCATTATGGAAGTTTTGCTGAAGACAAGTGAGGAGGCAGAGAAGGCAGCCCAGGTCGCCATGATGACAGTGCGAATGCACGTTGCAAGGACGCCCGTAACACGTCATATGCCTAGATGACAGATACTGTGGAAGTTTAGCAAGTGAAATATTACCAAAATGCAGCAATGGCATGAATGGTAGCTCTGTAGTATAGCATACGTGGGAATCCATTTCTGTATAAATCATGCTCGAACATCTCCAAAACATGATTAGAGAATAAAATGCGAGCAAGGTGAGGATCAGGGCAAACGATAAAATATGACAATAGAAGCAAAGAGAGAGAGAGAAAGGGAGAGGAGAGAAATAGAAATAGAAAGAGAAAGAGAAAGAGAAAGAGAAAGAGAGAGAGAGAGAGGAGAGAGAGAAGAGAGAGAGAGAGAGAGAGAGGAAGAGAGAGAGAGAGAGAGAGAGAGAGAGAGAGAGAGGAGGAGAGAGAGAGAGAGAGAGAGAGAGAGAGAGAGAGAAAAGAATTGTAATGATAATGACGATAATAACATTAACAATAAGCTTAACAGTGCCGATGATGACGATTGACGATGATAACAAAATTAATCCCAATGATAATAATGGCGTCAAGGATACTCTCATTTTCTCAGGAAATCGACCCAAAAGCCCCAAAGAAAAGATACTCGGCAGCCCCTTCAACGTCTCCAACTCGAGCTCATTCTCTGCTTATTAATGGAGTACTCTCAGAGCCCCTCCCCCCCCCCCTCCAACCCCTCTCCACTCGTTAATGAGGTTCTCCCAAGGCCCCACCCCACCCCCAATCCCCAACCCCCCCACTTGTTACTGAGCCTCACTTGAGATGTAAGCCTTTGTCTCAATAAACTTGTCAAAAAAAATATATTGCCAGGTTTCCTAATTTCCTCTTTCTTCCACCTTTCCCTAGCCCTCCATTTATTACCATAATTGTCTTTCGATTATTTCATTCTTCCATTCTTATTTAAGCGGATCTTCTCTCTTGTCTTCTTCCTCCTGCGCCTGCTGCCGCGGTCCTTCCGAGGTCGTCCTCCACCGCCCAGCTGACACCGAGGTCGACTCCTGCCTCTTCCTCCTCTCCCTTCTTTGCCTCCTGTCTCGCCCAGCACAACCCAACCCACGACGTCCTCACAACCCCAACGGCCACTCCAGCCCCAGCGGCCACTCCAATCCCAACGGCCACTCCAACCCTACAACGCAACCCCAACGACCACCCCAACCCCAACGACCACTCCAACCCCACAACGTCCTCACGACCCCAACGACCCCAACCCCAAGGACCACTCCAACCCCACAACGTCCTCACAACCCCACTGGCCACCCCAACCCCAAGGACCACTCCAACCCCACAACGTCCTCACAACCCCACTGGCCACTCCAATCCCAAGGACCACTTCAACCCTACAACGTCCTTACAACCCCAACGACCACCCCAACCCAAACGACCACTCCCCACAACGTCCTCACAACCCCACATGCCACCCCAACCCCAAGGACCACTCCAACCCCACAACGTCCTCACAACCCCACTGGCCACTCCAACCCCACTTACTTCTCCAAGACGCCTTCCCCAGAAGACAGTACAAGCAACACTCACCTCTTTCGTACTTCTCCCTAAGGATCGTCAGAGATGACATGATCTTGGCGCGGTGTCCCTGGTGAAGGATCCCCAGCTCCTTGATGGAAGCCTCGTCATAGTACAAGAAATCCTGTCAGGGAAAAAGAAGCGGAAATTTTAAGTCTCCGACATGGCTACTACCGGAATTAATATTCATGTATTATAAATACGCACACACACACACATACACACACATGTAAATGTGTCTATGTATGTATATGTATATTTATGTATATATAAAATATTTACACATATATGTATATATACATATATATACACATATTTTATATATACACAAATACACACACATACACACACACACACACACATATATATATGTATATATATATATATATATATATATATATATATATATATATATATACATATATATGTACATATATACATATACATACATATATATATGTGAGTGGGTGTGGTATATGCCAGCGTATAGGTCGACCCCTAAAATTCGCCAAATAAGACAATTCTGAAAAATAAAACAGCTCCATTCCCTGGGCCTTATTCTATGGAAAGAAAAACTACGATGTCTCACAAACAATTCTAAGACATTTTTGCACATAAAGACTTTCTTCCCAAGTGAGTTCAAACACAAAGGATAAACCAGCCTAAGCT